AAAAAAAAAAAAAAAAAAAAAAAAAAGCAAAAAAAAAAAAAAAAAAAAAAAAAGAATAAAAAAAAAAGAAGAAAAAAAAAAATTTTAGTTTATTTCTTATGTTTGAAAGTTTTGTTTGTTGAATAAAAAATTCAATATATTTTTAGAATCATATTCTATTTGTTATTTTAAAACAATTCATTGATATATTTGTTTTTACATGCATATATATATGCTTTTATATATACATTTAAATATTATTATGTTCTTTTCTTATACTAATTTATAAATAATAGTTCTCTATATGACCTTTATAAACAGAATTTTAGACATAGTTCATTAATAGATATTACATATATTTGAAATTCTTTACTTTTATATATTATTATTTTTAATTCATATCAATAGATTTTTTTTTTTTTTTTTTATTACATATATATTTTGTTAATTTGTTTATACTCAAATGTATATTTAATATATTTGATCATAAACCTTTGAGATATATATATTAAAAAAAAAAAAAAAACTCTAATATTAATATAATAATTAGATTTATGTTAAGAAGAAAAAGGAGATAACTATTTAGACAGAAAAATATATTTGTATTTTTTTTTTTTTATTAAACATAAATTTTTATCCTATTGTATTGATATAATTTAAAAATATATATTAAATTTTAAGATATTAAAATTTTCCTTATATAGTTCATACTTATTTATAGTAAAATGAAAAAAATATTATTTAAATATAAAAAATTTATATGTTTTCTTTCTTTTTTTTCTATCTTTTGCTACCATTTAAAGTGTCTAACTTAAAATTTTTTTTTTTTTTTTTTTTTTTTTTTTCTACCTTACATAGTTAACTAATCTTTTTTTTATTTCTAATATTTGTTAAGAGTCTAATATATTTCTTTTTACTTGATATATTTTTCTTCATTTTTTATTTATAGTTTATAGCTTTTACACACTATTAAAAAACTATACATATAACAACATATTAAGAACAAAACTAAAAATTTTAGATATAATAGTAATAAGAATTATGAATGAAAAAAAAAAAAAAAAAAAGGAAAAAAATAGGTATGATAATTTTATTGATGATAATAAAAATAAAGAAGAATTAAAAGAAGACGAGGAAAATAATTTCGAAATTTTTGATAAAAGTAAAAATAAAAAAAAAATTAATCTAAAGAAAATAAAAATTATTAATGAAAATAAAGAAGAATTTAACTGGAGTGAGGAAGAATTTAATCAAAAAAAAGAGAAAAATAAAAATAAGAAAAAAGATAAAAAAGAAATTAATGTGAGGATAATAAAAAAAAAAAATCAATGTTATTCTTTAGATGTTATTAAAAATATGAGGTTTTTAAATACGAATGAATTTATAAATGATGATGCTTTTTTTGTTTTTCCACATAATAGAAATGTGGTAGATTTAGAAAGGAAAGGTAATTCTTCATTAAATAAAGAAATGACAAGTATTTTCAAAAATAATAAAACAAAAAGTCATGAAAAAAGCAAAAAGGTAATTTCACAAAAAATTAATGAAAAGAAATTAAAAGGAAACAAAAAAACTAATGAAGAAGAGAAGGAACAAACAAGTCACGGGGAGAATAATGAATTAAGTATAAAAAAAAATGAAAACGAAAAATATGTTGAAGAAAAAGATTTAAGCACTTTGAATAGTATAATAAGTATAAAAGAAGACACTACTATGTCAATAGTGAATTCACTTGATGATAGTGGAACAAATGATCATGTAGATAATTATATAAACTTCGAATCAAAAGATAAAATAGGGAAGAATGAAGAAGATATGTTATTTAACTATAATAACGAACAAAATATTAATTTATCTATAGGAAAATTTGAAGATTTATATTTAGAAGGAGGAGAAGAAAGTTATGATAAAGTTAAAGAAGAAAAATGGGAAAATAATAATGGTGATAAAGAAAAAATTAAAATAAGTAAAGTAAAAGGAGATGAAGAGAAAAAACAAAAATTGTATATGAATAAATGTAAATTTAAAAAAAAAGGTGAAGTTAAAGATAATAGAGAAAAATATAATCAAAATATGTATTCTGAAAAATATCAGAATAATAGAAAAAAAGAAGAGGAAAAATATATTACATATAAAATACCTAGATATCTAAAGAAAAAGAACATAAGGTGTCCATTTGTGTATAGAAGTGTATTTTATGGAAAATATGGAATAATAAATTATGATTTAAAAGGAAATGATAATGACACATTAGTAATTACATTTCATGGACTAAATGGAACTAATTTAACATTTTTAGAAATGCAAAATGTATTAATTAGATATAAATTTCAAGTTTTAAACTTTGATTTATATGGACATGGTCTATCAGCATGCCCTAAATATAATCATAAAGAAAGAATGTATGGTATTGATTTTTTCTTATCACAAACGGAAGAGTTGTTAAATCACCTAAAATTGCAACATAAGGAATTTTATTTGGTTGGTTTTTCAATGGGATGTATAATAGCTACCAGTTTTGCTAGAAAATATATTAAACAAGTTAAAAAAATTATTTTAATATCACCTGTTGGTGTTTTAGAAAAAAAACCTTTTTTATTAAAATTATTAAAAATTTTTCCTTGCATAATTAATATTTCTTCTTTTTTTATGCTTCCTTGTTTTATCTCAAAAAAGAAATTAAAAAATAATGATTCTCAAAATGATACCTCAGATTATTTATATAACAGAATTATGTGGCAAGCATTTGTAAAAAAAAATATTACTCATTCAATTTTGGGTTGCGTTAATAATTTAAAAATGTGGAGTGCCCATGATATTTTTAAAGAAGTTGGTGTTAACAATATACCTGTTTTAATTTTATGTGGAGAAAATGATAACATTTGTGATGTTGATATTTTTAAAAATCTATCTAAATATTTTATTAATTCTCATTTAATAATCTTTAAAAATGCTTCTCATTTAGTCTTAGTAGAAAAAAGTCAAGAAGTCATCTCATGTGCTTTGACATTTTTTCATTTTCCTCACAATGCTGATCTAAAATTATTTCATTATATGCTACCAGTGGATAAAATGGGAAATTATGTAGTTAAGGATAAGAGATTTTCTAAAAAATATTCTTCTTCTAAATCCTATTTAAAGGATATTGGTTATATACCTAACATTTTTATTTCCTTTATTGATAAAGAACAAGAATATAAATTTAAAAAAAAAAAAAAAATATCTTTATCATTTAATATACTTTAAACATGCATTCATATTATAAATTTTTAAAATAAATAAAATGTATAATACAATTTTGTTTCTTTTTAATAATAAATTTGTTCTATACCTATATATATATATATATATATATATATACGTATATATTTATGTATATATTTATGTAAATTCAATAAATATCCGTCAATCATCAAATTATATTTGCTTTCATTAAATAATACATTAAATTTTTCTTTTTATTAAATTATAAATATTTATGTATAATTATTATAAATTATCTATAATTTTTTTTTTTTTTTCTTCATTTAACATTTTATGAATATATATATCTTCATCTAATTATTTTTTTCATTAGATAGTACTTTTTCCTTTTTCTTCAAATGAATTATTTTCACTTTTTCTATATTTTATGATTATTTTTTTTCTTTTTTTTTTTTTTTTTTTTTTTTTTTGTTTTT